CAAGGTTCTGAGGAACAAGGAGGTGCCTCTAGTTCAAGTCCAGTGGCAACATCGGAGAGGGTCCGAGCTGACTTGGGAGCTAGAGTCAGAGATGCGGGAGCAGTGTCCGGAGTTATTTGCAGCATGAGACTTCGAGGGCGAAGTCTGGTTCTAGTGGGGGAGAATTGTAACATCCCGAAATTCAGGTACAACTATTTAGCCCTCCTTTTATTCAAAGTGTCAAGTTAAGCCCTTAAGAGGAATTGGTAGCAAATGAGTACGCTGGGCGTACTCAAGAGTACGCTGCGTGTACTCATGCGCTTATTTTGGATGCGGACTCGCCAGCGTACTCAGGGTTACGCTGGGCGTAATGTGTCCAAGTGCAAACCCTAATTTCTGACTTGTGCCTATATATTGGATGCTAAGGCTCATTTCTCAGCCTCCATAGCAGTGAGTAAAACCCTAAGAGAGAACTTTTCATCGTTCTTAGTGAGTGTGTGTGATTTTGGAGCTAAAAGTGCCTTGGTGTGCTAGTGAAGAAGAAGGAGAGGAGTTGTGGAGACTAGAGCTTGAAGTGCAAGTTTGGATCTGAGATCTACAGAGGAAGGAGCTGCATTTGGAGGTATAAAGTTCAAAACTTTCCTCTTAATTTGGTTTGTTGCTTCATGGACCATTTTAGGATTAAAAGTCCCAAAGGTGGAGACTTTATGAGTGTAATGTGCTCCATGGACCTAGATATGTCCCATTTCAGTGGTATTTGTGTTATAGATCCATAAAATTCCCATCTTGGTCGTGGATATGAGATCATGCTTGAGTATTGGGCTTTCTAGTGTTAGGAAATGGTATATTTTGGGTGTTAGTGACTTGTTCAGCCATGCAAAGGCTTAAAGTCATCGACTTTATGGATTAAGAGGCTTAGAAATGGTCAGATCTAAAAGTTGGACGTGAGTCTTAACTGTTTAAGACCTCAAGAGCTAAGGGACTGAAACTGGGATTTACGCCGGGCGTAATCCCAGTACGCGCGGCGTACGGGGTGGCGTTCCCCGATTCTGAGAGACTGCCGGGTACGCCCAGCGTACACATCTGGTACGCGCAGCGTAACCCGGAGGGTTGACTTTTGGTTGACTTTTAGGGTTTGGTCTATAGTGGGGCCTTTGAGTTATGAGAGGGGTAAAATGGTCTTTTACCCTTCTGAGAGTACTAAGAGGAGGAATAGTCTAGCCTTGAGAGATGTATTGATTTAGAGTATTTATTTCACATTATTAGGCGGAGGCTAGACCCGATTTTACAGAGTTCGAGCTTTACCGAGTTACCCGAGGTGAGTCTTCTCACTATACTTTACCTAGAGTGGTAATTAGAGCTATAAGACAGAGTATTTTGTATGCTTTTGCATGATGTGATTTCTATGTGTTATATGCTATGTATGTTACAGAGTTTTCAGAGTTAGGACCGGAAGGTCCACAGAGTTAGGGCTAGAGGGCCCACAGAGTTAGGGCCAGAGGGCCCATAGAGTTATGGGACTGGAGGGTCCCACAGAGAACCTTGACCAGAGGGTCAACAGAGTTATAGCCTCGAGTGGCTAATATGTGTGTGTGTGGTATTTGGGGAACTCACTAAGCATTTATGCTTACAGTGTTGTGTTATGTGTCTCAGGTACCAGCGAGGATCGCGGGAAGGCGCCGGCTTGATCAGTAGACACACGGGGAGATTTTTATTATGATCTTGGGATATGATGTTATGATTGACTATGTGATACAATGGTGTTTTTATAACGATTATGAATGAAAATGTGTTTTATAAAATGTGAAAAATTGTTTTGAAAATTTGGGTGTTACATAATGTATATTCCAATGATGAATACAATTACAGTCTTAGGGATAAAAACTGTACTGATGTAACCCATCTCCACTTGTCTTTTTAACGATAGCCATCCCAACAATCTGAAAAACGAAAAAAAAAAAAAAACAAATTATCAAACTATATATAATTTAGAATATAATTTGAGGGTGTTAGTTGTGTAATACGATAGGAAAATGAATCGATTTTCTTCAAAGTTACGCCATAGTGGAGTAAAACTAAATGAAAAAGGAAACGGAAACTAAAAAACAAAGCTCATGAAGTGATCACAATGAACTCAAGAAGGAAATATAAATGGAGAACACACAACGACATTGATATTTCTTACTTATACACCTAAACATCTAGAAGCGAGTAGTAAAAGGATTGATGCTAAAATTTTAAAAAAAAAGTAAGTACTATACCTGGAACGTGTTGATGTGTTGAAGAGTCCATATTTCTTGGGTAGCTCAAAACCAATAACAGAGACATAATGTAGCCTGTATTTCCCAGATGCTGCAAACATTCAGAAAAATCACATAATTTGTCAAAATTGAGAACTTATTCTGAACCAAATCAATAAGAAAGAAACAGATCTAAAATGGGATAGTCTTTGTAAACAAAATCAAGAATAAAAGTACCGATTATAAACAAAATGGAGTAGAAACAAAATTAATCATACCCAAATTAAACTATTGGTCATAGCTTTTTCAAATCTACAAAATAAAACCATCGCTTCGTTTCTCTTTCGACATACGAACGACAAAACGTGATGGCAATGTGTGTGTGTGTGTGCAAAGAGTGGAGAGAAAGAGGAAAACCCACAAAAATATTAAAGGAAATAGCCAAAATTAGAACTTCAACCTGGAATGTATGGAATGAAAGACAGAGGAGAGAAAGAGGAAAGAATTTTCAGTTTTACCTTTCTACTTTCTGGTTTACCATAGATCACCAAGAAACGACAAAGATATAGTGTGATAAAAAATTATAAACAATGTGATGGTGGTGTGTAATATGTAGGGCAGCGTCGGAGAAGAAGAGAAGATGTGAAGCATTGAGATTTTCATAGTTTTGAGAAACGATTTGGGAGTTTATTGGGTATAAATGTATAATCAATAGGTTTTCATGGTAATTTAGGGATTTGAGTGTAGGTTTGATGATATGCACTGAGATTGAGAGAGGAGATAGCCTTATAAGTGTATTTTATTGACTAATTCAATTGATACGTAAATGAAGCAATACAGTTTAGCTTTGACCGATTAATTCTACAGATAGCTTTGAACCGGTTCATTTTGTAGATAAATTTGACCGGATAAGATTTAGCTTTTTTTTCAATGCATAAACTAATCGTACATATTGCAGTATGGGTTGTACCTCTTAAAATTCAGCATTTGAGGCTAAATGTTATAAGGTTAAAAGATATATATATATATATAATATATATATATATATTATATATATTCTTATATATCTATATTTGATAGACAAGAATAACATAATTTATAGTATAATTTAAAAGACATACAAAAAGAACATACATTAACAAAAGTATGTATTAATAACCAAATTTTCACCATCTATATTTGGCGTTTTTTTTTGAAGGACAGATCATCAAAGATTGAGTTTATGATATTCAAATGTAAATCATATCTATTTTGAATGTCTAACACCAAATAATTATCCATGTATCATCTTGATGGTGGTTACTATCCACATTTGGTTACTGTAATTTTGTGTCCATCAAATGTCGTAATTTTTTTTTTCAAATACAATGTTGTAACTGTAAAACAATATGTCATATCCATTTAAAGGCTTGTCATGAGTATGTATAAGGCCTGCGACCGCATAAGGCCCGCAACAGCCTAAAGATCCGTATCTCGTATCAATTATTGATTTAGGCATGTTAAAAAAATTGGTTCGGTGGATATTATACGAGACCCTAAGGTTCAACTGGTAAGCTTGCTGTATTTTATGTTGTAGGTCATAAGTTTTAACCGTATTCTTTATTGTTGAGGCCTCTTTTTTGAACTTACTTAAATAGGGTGATAGTATGTCATATTTTTAATCGTTTCCAAGCAAAGCCCTTCCTTTTCACAAACAAAACCCATTACAGTGCAACGTAAATTCCACCGATCCTAGTTTAACTTTTTTGGAGGTTCTTTTTGTTTTTTATTACTTTTTAAGATGCCCTTCACTTTTCCAAACAAACCCTTTCATAATCGGCCAATCAATTTACAATATTTAAGATTGCGACGGTAATCACAGTACTAAACTCTTTGTGGGGATGATGATTTTGACAATATTAAGAATTCTTTAAGTATATATATCTTTAGTTTATGGTTGTCGGTTCTATCTTCGTTTTTTTTAGTTTTTAGTTTTTCTTTTACAATATATTAGTTTTAAGGCCTAAATTTTAAAAAAACACATGTTACAAAATGTCACAACATGCCTCTAAAATGTAAGGGGCAGACATGTCCACTTAGGCTGGATGGAGTGGCTCGGTGCCACCCCTTGGCAAGCTTAGGTGGACTCGGAAATTCCATACGAAAACTGCTCCCTCACTGTAGCATGGCAAGGTACTCAGCAAGTTGGTGTAGAAAAAAAAAAGTATTAATTTTATAATTGTGTCTATTTTTTTTTTCTAATAATTCAAAAATACCATGGCAACCTATACCCTTAAATGGCAAAACTAACATGCAGTGCCACAAAAATGAGGTGACATATAAAATAATAACGATACAGTGCAAATGTTACAAAATAAAAATCTATGACCACGTGATTTTAAACATAAATCTTATAAAAAACATGTTTTTATAACTATTAAATATAAATTTTACAATTGATAATATGTCTATATACAAAAAAAAAAAAAAAACAATAAACTATATATAAATGAGTACCGTGATCATTTTGTCTCAATTGAGGCCCGACATGGCGTAGGGATATTGGTTTTACGAAAACTACACACGGAAACATGTGACGCAATTAATTTTCTATAATTTACACGCCGCCCCTTAAAAATCTCACATTTTACACGTTTCCGCCGCAATTTGATCCCGTGAAATACTAAGACTTACCCTACACTCAATATTTCAACCCCAAGTTTCCCCCTATATATTATTTCACACCCCTCCATAAAAACATTGTAATCCTAAACACACAATTAATACTCAAGATTACAAGCAATGAAAGCAATATCTTTCTCCAACCTCGTCTTTATTGGTTCATGTTGCCACCACCATTGTCCTCATACAAATAATCTTCGTCATCGAGCCGAGTCTTTTGTTGTCGGTGTAGGAAAAGGAACCAATGGTCGAAGGAATCTTGTGGACGAAAATATGATTGTATTAAGAATGCGAATAAGGGAAGTGGAGATGGAAGAGACAAGTGGTTTGTCGCCTGAAAAGTTTCGAAATTGGATGGTGTGGGAGAAGAAGTATTATGAGCATTATAATCAACATGTATGTGAAGCTATGATGGTGTTACAAATGTGTTTAATGAACACTAGGCCATGTTTTGCCCTTGGGGCATTGGCACTTTTGATGTTGAGTGTGATTTTATCAACCGGTGTTGTCATTAACAATTTTTTTAGTTTTGTGAGGTGGTTTATGTAATCTAAAAGAATCTCATGCAAGAGTGAGACTCATGGATTAATTTTAGAAACTTGTATCACATTCATATTTTTGTTTGAGAGAATAAGATGATAATTAATTATAGTATAAATTCGTAGAATCAAAAAATTTATGAACACACATGATAAGGAACTGTTTTGTTTTTTTTGTTTTTATTTTTTTTATTTTTATTTATTATTATTTTTTTGTATAAGATACAATTATACTAATGATTAATAGTTGTTGGTTTTGCTGCTTAAAGACTCAAACTTCATTTCTACACATGCTTATAATTGTCTCACTCGAACATATAAATCTGAATTTTGAGAGATTTAGAGGTTGCCTGTAAAATCATTAAAAATTTGGAATTGGGATTTTCTTTTTAAGGTTCAACTATAAAAACAGGTTTAAATCGTGAAACATTAAAATAAAAAAAAAAAAAAAAAAAAACAAACAAAAGAATAACTTACAGTTTTACTCCCTACACTAGGCATTGCATTTTTGGTCCAAGTCTTGAAAGTTTCACATGGTTAGTCATGGTTGCCGAATCTTGTACCATTTGTCCTCCGGTCCATAACATGAGTCGCCGTATGACGATAATGTTAAGCCTCAAACTTTATAAGTTCGGGCGAACCATGACGATTTTTAAGCGTGATTTAAGGCAAAAGAAATTTATACATAATTAATAATTCTACAAATATTTCTACTATT